AAAAGAGAGAGAGAGAAGAGGAGAGAGAGAGAGAGAGAGAGAGAGAGAGAGAGAGAGGAGAGAGAGAGAGAGAGAGAGAGATGATCACAATCTTTCCTATACAATCAGATGTTCCTTTTTCCTGACTTTTTCTTCACCATCACTCCAACACACAGGAGATACACACACACACACACACACACACACACACACACCACACACACACACACCACACCACACACACACACACACACAACACACACCCACGGAGCTCGGCTCGACCTCCCGCAAACCCAACTAGGTGAGTACTAGCAGAGTACAACCAACTACTCTAGTGATGTTGTGTGTGTGTGTGTTGTACTCACAACTAGGTGAGTACACACACACACACACACACACACACACACTGAGAGTACTGGGAATTTACTTCTTAAGATGGGCGTCCTCGGCTGCTTCGTTTTTTTACCCAATAGTCGGAGTCTTGTTGTCTTGCAACTAAACGACTGAGAAACTCCAAACTCTTGCGTTTCTTAACCTCTCACACAATGGACTTGCAAGTTATCTCAGGGAATCGAACACTTCCGTTCCTCTTCCTCTCATTCCTTGCCCTTAAAAGGCATCCATAATGTTTCAACACCCCGCGTTCCTCATCTCCCATCTCTTACACTCACAAACACTACCGAAGGTTACAACTCACCATTGCTGGGTTGAGCACTGGGAAGGGGGGAAGAATTCTGCGTAAACTGATCAAAATCAAGTTTTGGAGGCGTCATTGTGGTTAAATCTACCATGAAACAATGCGGAAAAAATGAAAAAGATGATTTTATTTCTCCTTATTTTCGTTTCATCTGCTTGAATCTGGTATAAGACTGCGACATTGAACTCCGGAGTTCTTTTTTTTTTTTTGGTATATACAAAAATGAAGAAAATAAAAAGACGACGGGGAAAAAGGTGCGTGAGAAAGTAGTATTAAGGTTTCCAGCTGGTCATCAGAGGTACGTGGTAACTAACGGCAGACTGAGTTCCTGGGTAAACATGACCCAGGCAAGTGAATCATTCCAGTCACTCAGACAAATCTGTGTTCGAAACCCATTGTTTGAGAGAGAGAGAGAGGGGGGGGGGGGGGGGAGAGAGAGAGGACGGGGGGGAGAGAGAGGACGGGGGGAGAGAGAGAGAGGACGGGGGGAGAGAGAGAGGACGGGGGGAGAGAGAGAGGACGGGGGGAGAGAGAGAGGACGGGGGGAGAGAGAGAGGGGGAGCGGGGAGAGAGAGAGGACGGGGGGAGAGAGAGAGGACGGGGGGAAGAGAGAGGACGGGGGAGAGAGAGAGAGGACGGGGGGAGAGAGAGAGGACGGGGGAGAGAGAGAGGGGGCGGGAGAGAGAGAGGACGGGGAGAGAGAGAGAGGAAAGTGGGGAGGGAATACGACAGACGAACATAATGTTATATTACACAAAAGGTATTTACTTCATCTTGAAGAATCCGTTCCCTTTCCATTTTCACTCTCGCATCTTCCTCTTTTTATTTCTTCTTCTGCTCCTTCCCCTCATCTTCCTTATTAACCTCCTCCCCCTCGTAAACCTCCTCCCCCTCGTAAACCTCCTCCTCCTCCTCCACGTAAACCTCCTCCTTCTTGCAAACTTTCTCCTCTTCCTCCTCCTGACTGGGGGTAATATTGACATAGACACTGTACTCAGGTTCTCACACTTCTTCTCACCTCACGTGGGTCAGTGTCCTCACACGCTCCCTGCGAGATGACTACCTCCACCGTACACTCTGTAAAATATATCCCCTGACCAGGTGAGAGATAATGACCTATTCATTTACCAGGTGAGAGATACTGACTTTTACCCTCACCAGGTGAGAGATTCTGACTCGTGTATCTCACCATCTCTGGAAGATACTTGATATAAAAAATTATTACCATCTCAAAGATATTAACATCCAAATATTGGAGATTTTAGAGATGATTATCCACTTATGAAACCTTCTGAGAGAGACTGACACCGTAACGTCATCTGAGAGACTGACCCCCTAACATCATCTGTGAGAGACTGACCCCCCTAACATCATCTGTGAGAGACTGACCCCCTAACATCATCTGTGAGAGACTGACCCCTAACATCATCTGTGAGAGACTGACCCCCCTAACATCATCTGTGAGAGACTGACCCTCCTAACATCATCTGTGAGAGACTGACCCCCTAACATCATCTATGAGAGACTGACCCCCCTAACATCATCTGTGAGGACTGACCCCCCTAACATCATCTGTGAGAGACTGACCCCCTAACATCATCTGTGAGAGACTGACCCCCTAACATCATCTGTGAGAGACTGACCCCCCTAACATCATCTGTGAGAGACTGACCCTCCTAACATCATCTGTGAGAGACTGACCCCCTAACATCATCTATGAGAGACTGACCCCCCTAACATCATCTGTGAGAGACTGACCCCCCTAACATCATCTGTGAGAGACTGACCCCCCTAACATCATCTGTGAGAGACTGACCCCCTAACATCATCTGTGAGAGACTGACCCCCCCTAACATCATCT